TATTGAATGGAGCACTGGGTGTTATACGCAAACAATGAATCATGGAACACTATATCAAAAACTAATGATGTAATGTATGGTGATTAACATAATAAAATAAAATTTTAAAAAAATCAACAAAACTGAAATAACTTTAGCTAGATTAAGAAAAAAAGAGAGAAGATTCAAATAAATAAAACTAGGAATGAAAGAGGAGACATTACAACTAATACCACAGAAATTCAAATGATCATAAGAGACTGTAATAATTATACATCAACAATTTTGATAACCTAGAAGAAATGGATACATTTCTAAACCATACAACCTACAAAGACTGAGTCATGAAGAAATAGAAAATCTAAACAGACCTATAACTCATAAGGACATTGAATCAGTAATCAAAAACCTCCCAACAAAGAAAAGCCCAGGACCAGGTGTCTTCACTGGTGAATTGAATTAATGTCAGTCCTTCTCAAACTCTTACAAAAAACTGAAGAGGAGGGAGTACTTCCAAACTCTTTTTATAAGGCTAGCATTGCCCTGATAAAAAGGCCAGAAAATGACACTACAGGAAAAGAAAACTAAAGGTCCATATTTCTGATAATGCTGTTGAATTCATTTTGTTAGTAATTTGTGGAGGAGTTTTGCATCTATAGTCATCAGGAATATGGACAGTTTCTGTCATGCAACATGAAGGAGTTCTAGATATCTACAGTGCAACACTGTGCTTGTAGTTAACTATACTGTACTATACACTTAAAATGTTTAAGAAGTTAGATCTCATGTGTTTTTTACAATAAAAAATAGGGTGAAAAAGAAAAAAATCAAACTCTCAGATAAAGAAATCACTGTCCATTACAAAAAGATCTTCCTGAATTAAGAAACATACTACAAAATACACCTTTAAGGAAGTGGTAGGTCTATGAAGTTGAAATAATCCATGTAGGACCAAAGAAGTAAATAATATTTTGTTCATTGTGGACCAATCACAACAAGAATATAAAAGTTAACAATATTAGGAAACGGTAATCCTATATGATAAGCACTTCAAGGTAGAATGTAACCATTTGTCAAAAAAAGAAAAAGATGAACTTTGTCAAACAATGCACAAATTGCAAGATTTGAGGCTTCTGCAATACAACAATGTATTAATCATAATCTAAGTTATTAAAAAGTCAAGTGCAAAAAAGCCTTTATATTCCCCTAACTACAATTTCAAAAATTACATTTTAAAAGATGACTATTGTACAGCATGTTTGTGAACTGAATAGACACAGGCATTACTTACATTCTTTCTTTGAGTGTGCATGAAGAAATATTTGGCAAGATTTCAAATTTAATTTTTTTTACAGACTGGACATTTTGCTAAAAGAATTTTTTACCCCTTTTAAGCACAGCTACTCTTTCACGTGTAATTAGAATTTTTTAAATAGAATGCATTTACCAACAAAAACTAATGATGTAATGTATGGTGGTTAACATAACAATAAAAAAATTACTTAAAAAAAATGCATTTACCAAAATACGTATCTACAGAAAGTCTCTGAAGCAAGTACTGCCCAGACATACTTAATCAAATTTATATTTTAGTATATAAAAGAATGGTAAGTAAAATATCACCATGAAAAGTGTTTTAATAATGAAATATATCTAGCTTCAAAACCAAACAATTCTAATTCTAATCTTACAATGTATTTAAAAATCTATGTATGTCAATTATTTTTCAATAAAACTGGGAAACAAATATAAATTCTTCTGCTCAAGATGAGAAGAGTCAACACAAGTCTAACTGTTAGAAACATAGGAATAACTGTGATGATCATTTGTACTTGCTATATAGTACCTTTTTAAAAGTTTTGATTAAAGAAAATGCTTAACTTCTATCCCTTCTTAAATAATCTAAAAATAAATTTAAATGTTTCTCTGTACTATAGCCCCCAAACAAATATGAAGAAAATAAAGAAATAAATTTGTTTTCTAGACCACAATCACTTAAAAATGTTTCTGTTTTTTAAGATTTTATTTATTTATTTGAGACAGAGAGAGAGCACACAGAGAAACAGAGTGAGAGGAAGAAGCAGACCCCCTACTGAGCAGAAAGCCTTCGGGGCTGATCCCAGGACCCTGAGATCATGACCTCAGGCGAAGGTAGATGCTTAATCAACTGAGCCACCCAGGCACTGCAGAAATGTTTCTATCAAATGTGATCACCAACCTGTTTTTGGAGTTTTAGGTAAACTAGAAAAAAAAAGCCTTTCCATTTTACATGAATATTATTTTTTTATTTTTTTATTTATCTTATTTTTTAAATGTCTGTAATACTACAAATTGATCTCCCCCAAAATAATATGAACATAAGCATGTCTATATCCTTATACAATTAATATTTGCCAAAAATTGGAGCTTTTCCATACCATGGACTTATCATAAACACAGTTAGATTTCATGGAATGATATAAAAATTGACTAATAAGTACTATATCTTCGAATGTTCTCTCACTGATGGTAGAAATTTAAGTCTCTCTCAAGTGCAATTTTTAACATTTTTCCAGAGCTTTAACAATGATAGTAATTTGACCTTTGTGTTTGAAAAAACTGAGAGATTCCCATTCAGACTCTGTACAAGAATATTCATGGTTATTTATAGTAGAAAAACTTATAAATGAACTAAACACATCGACTGATAAATGGATAAAAAAGATGTGGTGTATATATACAATGGAATATTATTCAGTCATCAAAAAGAATGAACTCTTGCCATTTGCAATGACATGGATGGAGCTAGAGTGTATTATGCTAGGTGAAATAAGTCAGAAAAGAACAAATACTACATGATTTCACTCATACATGGAATTTAAAAAATAAAACAGATGAATATAGGGGGGAAAAGAGAGGCAAACCATAAAATAGACTCAACTATAGAGATCAAATTGAGGGTTGATGGAGGGAAGATGGGTAGGGGGTGGACTAAATGGGTGATGGATATTAAGGAGGGCACTTGTGATGAGCACTAGATGTTAAGTGATGAATCACTAAATTCTACTCTATACTATATGTTAACTAACTAGAATTTAGATTAAAATTTTTTCAAAAAGAAATGAACTAAACACACACACAAAAGAAACTATTAAATGAATTACCTTAAGATACTAAGACTGCTATCATGTTAACAGAGGATGAAAATTATACATAAAAATAATAGAATATACAACAGTATGAAAATAGAGTATGAAATTATATATACAGTGTTATCCTTATTTAGGCACATGAATAAGCTCTCAGACACACTGAAATAAAAAAAGAAAGACTGCAATGGAAAAGACAAAAAACTCACTAACAAGAGTAATAATGATCATGTGTGGTTTATATATATTCTTATTTTTTATGTGTCTTTATTTTCTTCCATCTCCACAATAGACATGCTGTAATTGAAAAGAAAAAGCAACAAAAAAACAAAGTATGACATTTTCCAACTGTAGATTTTCTTAAGTAATTGTTTCTAAAAACAAAATTTATCCAGAATAAATGAAACACAAAAATACACATTCACCTCAATTCTAACATGATAATTTGACACTAAATATAACTACACTGGTATAAAAAGCAGGTTATACCAAAGTGTTAGAAAATGCAATTATTAATGGTTTCCAAATTCTATTAGGCTTACCTTCACAAAGTTTCTGCTTCATCACCTCCCTTATTTTGGATATTGCAATATAGTCTTCCACATAAAACACATAAGTAGATGAAGGCTTATTTGCAATTGCTCTAAGTTCTGCATCTTCTGTTTCTGAACCAACACCAATAGCAAATAATGTTATTTTACTGTCTCTTGCTGCTTCTGCTGCATCTTTAACTTCATCTTGGGATTTACCATCAGTAAGTACTACTGCTATCTTAGTCAGAAACCGTGAGGACTTGGCAAAAAGGTAATCAAGTGCAAACTGGATGGCCTTTCCGGTTCTTGTGTTTCCGCCCAGGTAATGTATGGATTCCACTGCTGCCATCAAATTCTCTCCTGAATCATGACTTCCAAGAGGAATCTCCAATACAGGGTAGTCACTATACTGGACCACACCAACCTGAATAAACTTTGGTCCTATGTCAAAGTTTTTTGTGATATTGACAAGCCACTTTTTCACTATTTCGAAGTTTTCTGGGCCAACACTGTAAGAGCCATCTAAGATGAAAACTAAATCTGTCGGAGCAGTACGACAACCTAAGTGAAAAAGAAAACCATCAGAACACATTTGTTGTATAATATGCAAAACACGGGAGGTTTTTACTGCACAATCTTTAAGTAAGCAGATGCGGGGGCTCCTTTCACAACATACATGTGTATCATATCACCATGAGGCACACTTTAAATATAATACAATCTTACATGTCCATTATACCTCAATAAAGCTAAAACTTTAAAAAGAAAAAGTAATCAGTTCATAAGAGCTTTGTGAAGATTAAATAAGATATACTGCCTAACTCGTGAAAATTCTTCCTAAATGAGAGCTATTATTTTTTGTTGACATTTTAAAATTCCGTTGTCTTAATTTAAGGATTAATGATTCAGCTTTAAAAGTAGGGAATAAAAAATGCATGCTGTATTTGACATGATATCTAGATAGCTCTTTGTAGGGGCAGGTACTACCATAAAGCAACAATTAATTCCTTTTCCCCACTGAATAAATGAAAATACAAAAATAAATAAATAAATGATTTTCAGCTATATGCTAATAGCATTCTTTTAAGTTATCCATAAAATATGTTTAGTTTAATGCTAATCTGAAGTATTTACTAAAATATACATAAACCAATGAATGGGAGAGAGAAATTTAAAAACAAAAAATCTTTCTGCCAACTTCAGGATTCAACTAGCCAATAAAGACCCATATTCTTTGATGCAGTTGATAAAAGTTTAATGAACCAAGATCACCAATGTAGTCTACTCTTGCACTACATGCAAGATCAGTGTTTAAAGATCTGATCTCTCATCTTCAGCCAATAAGACACTCATGCTAAATGAATCTGTGTTAATGGGTATAAGGCTATTTCTTTCTCCATAGAGATAAAGATTCTGGTTTCAAGATACCAGAAAACACATGGGATCAGCACACCTCAGAGTTCTACTGGAGAACAAAAAACTATCTTTGGTATACGTTACACCTACACAAGTTCTAAGCACTTGTCAAAAGAAAAAAAATCTTAACTCTCTTTTCTGCAGTACACAGCATGCCTCCAACCCTGTTTTATTCTTTCCGTATATGTATATTGAATAGCTACTCTGTGCTTGATATCATGTTGGATATTGCAGTATAGTCTTCCACATAAAACACGTAAGTAGATGAAGACTTACTGCCAATTGCTCTAATGTATATTGTATACTGAATAGCTACTCTGTGCTTGATATCATGTTGGGTACCAGCTTCAAAGATGCCTAAGATATCTCAAACAGATACCACAGTTTATTAAGACTTTAACTGGCTGGTTAGGGAAAGTACAAAATATTATGAGAACATTTAGGAAGGGTAGCAAACTAACTGCAAAGTCAGAGTAGATCCTGTGGGAAAGCTGACAGGGAACCTGAGATCTAAAAGGAGGGCTTTAGCCAGGTGAAGAGGAGGACCTTTTAATCAGAGGGAATAGTAAGTACAAAGGTCCAGAGGTAAGAATTGAACACAGCCCAACAAAGTGGTTTGTTTGAGTAATTCCAACAGTTTGAAATGGCCAACAGAGTACATTGAAAGGAATAGCTACACTTCCTTTCTCTTTCTCTCAATTCTGCACTTAAAGCAGCAAAAATACCATTTATGGCCTATCCAATAAAGATCACATGTCCCTCGAGAAGGTAAGTTGGAGGTAAATATAATAAGTTTTGTGTTTCTACTCATATTAATGGTCTCTCTTAGTAGTGATCAGATGCCTAATATAATGATTTATTTTCTGCAGACATTACAAATAAGATATCATAATTGCAAAGGACAGTCCTGGAGAATAAAACAACGTTCAGTGATGATTAATATTTGTATTCCTGCATTTCCTTAGAAGTAAAATCAATCAATCAATCTTTCTCTTTCTCTCTCCTTTCCTGTCCATTCTTTTCCTAATATTTGTCTGTTTCCATACCTGGGATGATGACAAGGCTCACACGAAGATGCCTCAATTTTAAAGTTAACTCACCCATCACAGTAACCAGCAAAAATAAACACTATTGTCAGGTGAACATATAATCCAGAAGTTACCAAAAATTTTTTTAACTGCCAAAACATGGATTTATCTCAAAAATGTAACCATGATTATGATGTCATTCTTAAGGTGGCGGTGAAGTCCAAAAAAGCATGAGGAACACTATTCCAACCTCCTTTGGCATGGTGAACACTGCTAGAGTTCAGGCCAGGGACAGGAGAAATGGAATTCTTCCCCAAAGACAAATTTTCTAACCCTAGGGAATGCGGGTCTTCTGGTTTTATTGGAAGCTGGACTGGGATTAGAGACATGCTTTTGTTGGGCTTTTGTGGGAGAGACAAAAGGACAGGCAAGTTATGTTTGCAGAGTTCTTCAGGGTTGTCCTTCCTCACTACTATGAGACTCATTGTCGAGACCTACTAGTGTTTGTGTGCCACCTGATTCAGTGTTTATAAACTTACAGGGTTATTCTTGGCCCTTCATATCCCTTTCTAGAGCCATGGACCATATATTTCATAACTGCAAGGTTAGCCAAGAGCATGGGTACAAAAGCAAGTACTGCCATTTATAAAAACTAGACAAAATACCACTCCAAAAGACCTCCTCTTAGAGAGATAAATCACCAATGTCATAGAAAAAAAAATGGACTGAAGATCAAAGGCATAGTTCAAATACTACTTACAGCTTTAACCAGCTGTATATTAGGTAAGTCCCTTAAATTTTGCGAATCTCTTTCCCTACTCAAAAAACAGAGAAAAGAATATCTACCTTGCATAGTACTTGAGTGGATTAAACTATAAAAGTGTTATACAAACATTAAATTTATTATTAATAAATTTTAAGCTAAATCAAGTTGTCAAACCATATGATTTAAGTGCTAGAGAAACCATAATTAATTTACAGTATGGTGTTTATGCATTTTAAAAGATGATTATAAGCCAACTTTTTTAAAAGAAGCATGATATCTATAAATAATGGCCTGGGTAGCAGAAGTGCAATATAGCTCTCCTTCTCAAATCAAGCTCTCCTATATGCAATCAAAATAATTGTCACCATCTACTGAGATGTCATTGTGCTAAGCCATTAATATGCGTTATTCTGTTTACATGGATTATCTCATTATCTCTATGCGATAACCTCATAGGATGGTCCTAATAACCAATGAGGTAAGCACTTAATTTCCATAACACTAAGCTCTAAATGGCTGAGTGTAAACTCAATAGCAGACCATTTATTCCAAAGCCTGGTGGTTAAAAGAGAATAAACAATTACCAGGGAATTTTCTCAAAATTACCTCTGATAGAAGGTTTTCCTCTCAGTTAATATGTAACATAGCAATTCATTTCATTTTAGGGAATTACAGCATCAAAGACAGAAAGAATAAGGTCCTTAAAAGAATTGCTTGAGCTCCCCTAATTTGATTCCACAATCAATTTGTTGGTAACAAAAACAATGATAGTTCTTACTTGATCTTATTTCCCCATCTTCAGCTAATACAGAATTCTGAAGAAGCAGGACCAAAACTATCCAAAGAAATGAAATATGGTGAGCCATGCTTCTGTTTTCGTTCTAATATTTTGGTTTTAGGATTCCTAAAAAGAAAAAAAAGAAAAAAGGAAAGTTAAACACATTAGAAAAATAAAGACAAATGCCTAACCATTATAAGTTTAAATTTTTTCATTGTAATACTCAGTTGGAGTTTTTACTAGCCTTAGAATAATTTATATATCTAAAATAGCCATATTTTAATAAAATAAAGGACAAGAACCATATGACCCTCTCAACTGAAGCAGAAAAAGCATTTGACAAAATACAGCATCCTTTCTTGATTAAAACTCTTCACAGTGTAGGAATAGAGGGAACATACCTCAATATCATAAAAGCCATATACAAAAAGCCCACAGCAAATATCATTCTCAATGGGGAAACACTGAGAGCTTTTCCCCTAAGGTCAGGAACATGACAGGGATGTCCACTCTCACCACTGCTGTTAAGCATAGTACTAGAAGTCCTAGCCTCAGCAATCAGACAACAAAAATAAATAAAAGACATCCAAACTGGCAAAGAAGAAGTTAAACTCTCGCTCTTCACAGATGACATACTTTATGTAGAAAACCCAAAAGAGACTCTACCCAAAAATTGCTAGATCTCATACAGGAATTCAGTGATGTGGCAGGATATAAAATCAATGCACAGAAATCAGTGGCATTTCTATATATTAACAATGAGAAAGAAGAAAGAGAAATTAAGGAATCAATCCCATTTTCAGTTGCACCAAAAACCATAAGATACCTAGGAATAAACCTAACCAAAGAGGTAAAGGATCTGTACTCTAGAACACTCATGAAAGAAATTGAGGAAGACACAAAGAAATAGAAAAACATTCCATGCCATGGATCAGAAGAACAAATATTGTTAAAATGTCTATCCTACCCAGAGCAATCTACACATTCAATGCAATCCCTATCAAAATACAATCGATATTTTTCACAAAACCAGGACAAATGACCCTAAGATTTGTATGGAACCAGAAAAGACACCAAGAAGCCAAAGGAGTGTTGAAAAAGAAAAGCAAAGCTGGGGACATCACAATTCTGGACTTCAAGCTGTATTACAAAGCTGTAATCATCAAGACAGTATGGTACTGGCACAAAAAGACACACAGATCAATGGAATAGAATAAAGAACCCAGAAGCCGACCCTCAACTCTATGGTCAACTAATCTTTGACAAAGCAGGAAAGAATATCCAGTGGAAAAAAGTCTCTTCAACAAATGGTGTTGGGACAATTGGACAGCCACATGCAGAAGAATGAAACTAGAGCAATTTCTTAGAGTATACACAAAGATAAACTCAAAATGGATGAAAGATCTAAATGTGAGACAGGAATCCATCAAAATCCTAGAGGAGAACACAGGCACAACCTCTTTGACTTCAGCCACAGCAACTTCTTGCTGGACACTGTCTCCAAAGGCAAGGGAAACAAAAGCAAAAATGAAATATTGGGACTTCATCAAGATAAAAAGCTTTTCTGTCATCATCAAGACAGTATGGTACTGGCACAAAAACAGACAAACAGATCAATGGAACAGAAT